TTATTTTGTTAATAATCTCGCACTTTTCATTTAGTGAAAAAGCTTTGCGTTTTTGTTTTTCCATTCTAAAACGATTTACATACATAACGCGGCAAAAACAACAAGTCATTGCCTGTCTCTCGCTCTCACTAATACAAACAACTCCGCACGATTCGTGTTGCTGAGCGTGGAAGTTCGATATAACCAGTAAAAAAATACGTTGGTCGTTATGGACGACGTTTCAATTAAAGGAAAACAGTTCGTTTTAACCGAAAGTTTACTAAAACCGGGTTCATTACAAGCGGACTTTATTGTATCTATAAATTCAAAAGCACTCACGCTTACCATCTTGGCCTCTTCATTCAGGCTTAGACGCTCATTGTGAATCTGCATATTTTTTAGGGTTTTCACTTTTCTAGGGTGGTGAGGAGCCCCAGGTGGATGTGAGACAGACTGCATGATTGGCGGGTGTTGCATGATATGGCCCACAGACTCCATCGGAAAAAATCTAAAATAGGCAAATATCTAACATGAGTGTTCAAAACGAACTTGAAAGAAAACACTACTTTGTGCCACATTTTTAGTTGACTCAGTTCTTTGGAAACAGAGTCAGTGGAAAACATGGAATTTTATTTGTCTCACATGACGCTCAACTAGAAATGGACAGTTCTAATCAAGTAACACTGAGACAGGAAGTTTAATTAACAGGTAGCAAAAAGTTGAACTATATCATAAAACAGTTTAATTCGCGAATTCAAACGTCAAATTACTGTGTCGTTGCCCCGTAACAGTTGAGACTTGTCTATATGCGCTAGAGATGACACAAACCAGTATTTTTCAGTCACAGGTTCCATGTGTAACTGTTCCAAGCTCGTCCCTGTTCCAAGTATCTGTGATTTTTTGCACATGTTATTTTGGCCCAAGATAAATATTGGTTTGTACTTGAAACCGGGCTGAAGCGTATTTTGACTCCAGTCGGATTAGACTTTAAATAGCCTGTTTCGGGCACTGAAAATATGATGGTAAAAGATTATTGGAAGTTGTTCGAAAGGATGTTAGAATATTGAGACTAGTTTGTGCTCGATTTCCGGCTGTGGAATATTGTTTATAAATAATTAAAGAAAGTGCAAAAGCCCGTTTTTTGTGCATAATTGTTGAACCGTTGATACTATTGAAAAAAAGGTTTATCCTTTTTTTCAAGTATTGAAAATATCTATATCAGATAAACTGCATTAAAATCCGTTCATTAGTGTACTCAAAAATAAAAAAAGTTGTCGATTTCAGCGTTTTGTTAGTTTTCAATAATAAATTTAGTTTTGTTTCAAGAAAATGGTACCATAACTTTTTTTTGTCAGTCAGTAATGAAATTTCATTTACTGTACGTTGTAGTATAACTCTTTCCGAGTAAAATACAGCCTCAGAGAAGTCTCTCCGATGTCTCAAGAAAAATTTGTTTAGAATCTGGCAAGAGTCCTTTTTACATAACAAATAGGAATGAACAGAAAGTTATGAATATTTGGAACTTAAATTTATACCACTTATAAAGTATATAGACTCCTTCAAAAAAAGCTATAGTAGCAAAACCAAATTTAATTATAAAAAATTTTACTTTCATCTATTTAGTGCCCGGAAAAATCTAATCTAATCCGACTGCACTAATTGCTCCATTGAAGGATATCCAAGCCAAGTAATTTGGGTGCAAATCTACTGGGTCAGCAATAAATTATGACCGAAGACCGAATGCCTTTTGTCCCTTTAGCAAGGGCTGATGTTCAAAAAAAATGTATAACATTTTTATGAGTAACGATTTCCCATTTTATCAAAACTTTATTTGAACACAAAAAAAGGTGACCACATTTTTTATCTTTCCCACTTAAGGTCAGTAAAATGTGAAAAATATTCTATTTTCATGCTAATCACTGATTAGAATTCATCTTATCGCTTAATTGAAAATTGGCCATTTAATACTACAGCTATGTTTGCCTTTTTGCTTTGCTGAAATATCGAAATGCCAGATGTTGACTGTTACTGAGCAGCATCGTAGGCGAGCCCTGTTATTTCAAATCACATGTTATTTTAAATATCGATAACAGGTACCGACTGTTCCATATCGATATCTGTTACGATACCTGTGACAAGTATTTCGTGTCATCCCTAATATGCGCTAGTCTTGTCTATGCATCTATGGAAGTTGGTAAACAAGCGAAAACTGGGAATTGCAATTGTAACAAAAATGAATCGAAAAATTGATTAGAATAAAACAAATCACCATGCGACTCCAATGTCAACAAAACAAGTGTCAAATTACCAGTTAACTTGTAGTTATAATTTTAACCATCAGGAAGCTTGCACTTTTGAACTGGCGAATAAAAAAAAGTAATTATCGATTAATGAAAGACTTGCACATGGTTTCACACAAATGATCTGAACTCGCCGTTTGAAATTCACAGTAGAACTTTTCAGCTTTAACATGAAACGTTTAGTAACTATAGCCAAACTAATGTGAATTCTCCAAACCTGTGCTTTCTGGGTTAAATGCTGGACAATCCCAGATCGAAACTACTTGGTCATCATCAAGATCAAGAGATTTGTTTCTCTATGGAGAATCGGTTTTTGGTTTTTCAATTGTTATTTAAAAACCTTTCCAAGCCGATGCAAAAATACAAACCTTGTCGAACCCTAACCTACAGCCGAAAATCGTTTTAAGCACCTGAATATATTTTTTCTTAACAAAATGGTGATGTTTTATAATACCTAATGTTGGTATCAACCAATATTTCTATTGTATCACTGGTCGGCATAATGGTTTAAAAACATTATAGGCAATGATCTGCTACGCGTTATTTATAGACTTACTGGCAAGACAGTATTGTGGAGACATGGAAATTGACGTAATCTAAATGGATCAAGATCTCCCAAGAGTTGAAAATTGCTGTTAATTCTGTTCTGAATTATAATTTGGCAAGTCACGTCTCACCACTCCAGTTCCATGCCGCTTCTATCTTTTTAAGTAGCACCATTAGAATGATTAATTCGAGCACGTTTTGCCGGTAATTCCGACTACTACAAATGCGTAAAATGCCGATAATCGAAACTTCTAGTTGAGATGCATGCAGACCACATGGAAATTTCAGAACGCTTCCAGTTAAACGGCGCCGTTGGAAAGATTTTCCATCTTTTGCAGACTAAAAGTTTTTAAAATTCCAAGTTTACTTACCAAATCACTTCTGTGACTCCAGCTTGGATTCACCAGCAACAAACGCGAATCATAAATGGCCGACAAAATGGCCTTCTTAACGGAATTGGCCTACGACAGGCGTGCCCGTTACGGAGCAGAATCGAGAGAATGCGCACTAGTTTATGCGTATCTCGCTCGTTGATTTGTATGTTTATTTGCATACAGTATAAAATATATACATACGTACATATTTATGAAATGCTTGTAAATGAGAAAGAAACAGGGTTTCCTGAAAGAAGACCTATTTTTTTGTAATATTAGGAGAATGTTACGATAGATAAAGACGGTAAATGGCAACGTTGGACTCGTCTTTTGTTTAGCTGCTCCGAGATGGAACAGGCGACTTGTCTGAATTTAAATTTATGCGCTTCAAGGATGTTTGCTTTTCCGGGCGAATTCTGGATTTCGGCAAAAACGGCATTTTAACGAATAAATATCGCATCCTTGGAACCATTTTATAATACTTTTATAAGAACATTTCACACAATACATTTTTGTGTTTATTACGATCAGGGGCAGATACTGTAAATACCCCCCTGAGCATACTTTTAATTATTTTTGCGACGTTCCGTAAACTGTAGATTATGTTTAATATTGTTTGCTTTGTTGCCTTTTTAAAATACTATTTATTGTTGTTTGTAAGTGCAATAAAAAACCTGCAGAATGAAATGGACAAAATAGACTATAACAGTTGATAGACAAAAAGTCAATATTCCTTTGTTACTGCGCCCTCCCCTCAAGAAACTCTTGGATCCCCCGCTGACTACGATTAGTATCTGTTAAAAATATTTTGAGTACCTCATAATTTTTTAAACGTTAATTAACGGATAATAGGTTTTATAATATAATAAATAATAAAATATCTGTGACTTTGGGCGACAACGGAAAACTGGTCACACGGGCCAGTGCAGTGAAATTGAACATGAAAATACCGTGTTTTTCCGTTAAGCGAACGGATCTTTTAAATAATCTGGCTGAACGTACAGGAATCACTTGTCTTCATCTATGACAGGAATCACAATAACCTTAAATAAAATGAACACACCAAACTTTTCCACTTACCTGTGTTTTTTACATTCGCACACCGGAGAAAAGATTTTGATTGTTTTGTCTTTGCATTCTGCACACACAGATTGCAGTGGTAATACGACAGGTAACATTCCATATAGAGGTACAATGTAGTCAAAAGTATTGTCTACATATTATCTAAAAGCTCAATCAATAAATGCAGAAAATGGAGTGGTTAAGAGACCCAGTTTTGGTAGCAACAATTCAAAAGTTTTTCGGTGTTAAAGTAGAATCAGCCGCAAAAGACGTTAGACAGGCAAACCTGAGTTATCAAATAACGAACAGACTGTGGTATTGGCTATTCGTTCTGGGCACCGCTCTGGGCGATGAGGTGTTCTACATTGCTTTTATTCCCTTTTGGTTCTGGAATGTTGATGGGGCTGTGGGGCGACGCGTGGTGCTAGTTTGGAGCATTGTCATGTATATTGGTCAGTAGCAAAATATAGGCTTCAACTAGACATTCCGACATGAGTTGGAATCGTTTCAGGTCAAGGTGTAAAAGACATAGTAAGATGGCCCCGTCCAGGACCACCAGTAGTGCAACTGCAAAAGAAATGGGCCTTAGAGTATGGTTTTCCATCCACACATGCAATGGTGGGAGTTTCCATACCATTTTCGGTTGTGTTGTACACTATGAATAGATACGAGTACAATATCTACCTCGGATTAGCAATCGCTTTCTTGTGGTGTACAGTTATTTGTTTGAGTAGACTCTATTTAGGCATGCATAGTGTTTTAGTAAGTTTTTCAATGGCAATCCATGCATCGGATTCTATTGAGGATGCAAACCTTATTTCCAGGATGTCGTATCTGGTTTACTTTTGGCTGTGACTCTTTTGATTCCATTAGTGCCTCTGATCGACTACTTAGATAGTTACCTTCTAACAAGTCCAACATCTCCTTTCTTACTTCTCACCTTGTCAATTTTGATGATTTTCTGCTATCCCAACAGCGGAAAGTGGACCCCCACCAGGTAACAAATGTAGGAGTCCTAATTAACTGGCACTGAAACAGTTTCAATGAATTTTAGAGGAGACACGACTATGATCCTCTCAGTTTGTGTGGGCGTGCTAGTGGGGGCCTGGCTCAACTACCAAACAGGGCTGATGACAACATCCGATCTGCCCCTGCCCCATATTATTATGTGGCCTTCCTGGAGCATGTTCGGTTGCCTCCTAGTAAGAACGTTCTTGGGCTTTTCTTGCGTTTTCTTGACTAGACAAGTATTCACCAGTTTATCGTACAGCTTCATCTGTATGCTGCTAAAGCAGGACGAAATTAAGTTAAAACAGTCCGAGAATACGCTGCAGAATAAACACAAGACTATTGTGGAGCTGGGATGCAAGTACATAACATGTGGGGTGATTGGATTTAATATCCTTTACACGCTTCCGCAGGTTTTTCGGTTCTTGAAAATCGAGAGGCCTACATTCTTCACCGAGATTTGAAACAGATAAGTGAAATGCTTGGCATCCGATTTATACGCGAGATTCTAGGTATATAGAATTTGTTAAGAGTTAATCACTTCTATCACTGGCTACTAATCATCTGATGATCTCAACTTTATTGTTCTTCGATCAGTAGCCAGTAAGTTTGTTGACGGCTTAGATGCAATCTGTATGTTATTAATTGATTACCATCTGGAGCCTAATTCATTATTGATTTCAAACTGTGTTCGACAAATTTCACCTGTTAAATTGTTAAACGTAAATTTAAAGCAATACAATGATTCCGAGCTTCCCTAGGGAATTTTATTCCGAGAAACGTAAATCAGTTGTTTTACGTTCAAGTTGTTGCTGAACTCCTTAAAACAACAAATTCAATGAACGACCATCGATGATTCATCCAATAATGATCAAGCGTTAACCAATATAACACGTAACATTTTGCAAACTGCTGTTGCCTTAGCTGATTTCTCTCAGGAACCGATAATAACAGCAAAAAATGTTGTTTTATAAACTAATCAATTCCAATTACGTGGTAGCCTAATATTAAAGGCGTATTTCAGTAACAACCAGTACAATAATCATCACAACCTTAATGTACAGCGATTTACAACAAACCTTGACTGAGAATGTGAAGGCCGAATCTAGTAATGGTGAATTTTTCGTCGTTTTTTCGAGTGAAAAGCAACAAATAATATTCAATTGCAAAGGTAAGTTTTACTGATTTGTAGTATACGAACAATCAATGGTTTATTAGCCGGGTGTCACTTGTACTGGTTCATTAATTTCAACAATCTCAACTCAAAACAATTTATTTGCATCTCACATTTAAACAAAATGCGTACACACAGTTGTTTACCAGCACGTAATCTATTATTAAACCGCGTTTATATTGATGTTTTTTTTCTAAAATCAGCCTCCAATTAATGGCATCACTACAGTAAGGATCTGAAACAACGAAAAGTAAGTATATTGAGACTAGCGAACTGTTCATACCGAGTCAAAATAGGCAGTGAAAACATGGAATCTTGGCATAATCTTGCACCTAAGTGTGTGATATTCAAATTTC